GGGATGAACTCTGCGTATTTGGAGAACCTGTCCACACAGACCATAACCTGACGCATGCCACGAGGGGTGGTCTTGCCTAAATCTGTGAAGTCTATTGACACAGATTCAGCAGGGCCATCAGGTATGGGTAATGGTTTGAGCAGTCCCAAAGGAGGTTTACGCTGAACCTTGTTCCTTTGGCAGAGCTCACAGGTGTCCACATAACGCAGCATCTCACTCCGCATCTCCTTCCAGAAGAAGCGTTGCGACAGGGCTGCATAAGACTTTAGGAACCCCAAGTGCCCACGGGCATCATGACACTCTGACAGCAGCAGTGTCCTGAGCCGCTGGTCCTGAGGAATGCACAAGCGCTCCTCACCTCTACTGTGCGTGTATAGTAGGCCTGAACTCAGAGCATAGCCTGGTTCAGAGTTAGGATCTGCTTGCAGATTCCTGACAATGGGTCCAAAAGTCTCGTCCTGAGGCAGTAGACGAGCAATGGTCTGACGGGTCTCCTCTCCAAAGGAGTGAGTAGAGGAGATCAGAGCAAAAGAGTCAGGCCTACGAGAGAGGGCATTTGCTACCTTGTTGTAGCAGCCCTTCTTATGCTTCAGTTCAAAGTCAAACATGTCTATGAACTGAATGTACCGTGCCAGTTTATCGTTTAACTCTCCCTGGGACTTCATCCACTGCAGGGTGGAATGATCTGAAAAGATCTTGAAGTGCCTGCCCAGGAGAAAGTGCTTCCAATGTTTCAGGGCACARACAAGAGCATACAACTCTTTCTCGTAGGTAGAGTCCTGGAGTTTTTGAGTCTTGATCTTCTTRCTCATAAACTCTACAGGTCGTAGACCATTCCCATCATCCTGCTGAAGCACGGCCCCAATGCCATACTGACTGGTGTCAGTGGTCAAGATATGGCAGAGTGGGGTCAGGTAACTTCAGGACAGGCGCACGAGTCAAGGCCTTCTTGAGTCGTGCGAATGCCAACTGACAGTGGAGGGACCAAAGAAAGGGAGTGTCCTTCTTTGTAAGGTTAGTCAGGGGTGCAGCCACTGCAGAAAAGTTCCTGACAAACTTTCTGTAGTAGGAGGCCAAACCCATGAAGGACCGGACATCCCTCACTGTCTGAGGTTGAGGCCACTCCTGAATAGCAGCAATCTTGGCTGCTTCAGGAGCCAAGCCATCTCCAGAGATTACATGGCCCAGATAGATGACAGAGGGAACTCCAAAAGAGGACTTCTCCCTGTTGATCTTGTACTGGCTGTCACGTAATGACTGAAGGACAAGAGCCAAGTGCTTCGCATGTTCCCTGGCAGTTTTGCTGAATACCAGGATATCATCCAGGTAGACAACCATAAACTTGTCCAGGTAAGGCCTGAAGATGCGGTGCATCTCAGTCTGGAATGTGCCTGGGGCATTGCAAAGTCCGAATGGCATGACCAGGAACTCGTAAGTCCCATACCTGGTCTTGAAGGTTGTCTTGTAGACATCCTCCTCTGCCATCTCAATCTGGTGGTAGCCAGATTTGAGGTCAACTTTGCTGAACACTGTGCAGCCCTGCATCATATCAAGGAGGTCATCGATCCTAGGAAGTGGCTCAGTACTCTTCCTAGTGATCTTATTGAGACCCCTGTAGTCAATGCACATCCTGAACTCGCCGTTCCCTTTGGGTACAAAGAGGACAGGTGCACCGAATTCCGATGTGCTGGGTCTGATCCAGCCTTTGCTGGTCAGGGTCTCAAGCTGCTTTCTGAGCTCCTCAAGCTCAGCAGGGGACATCCTGTAGATGCGGCCCTTGGGAGGAACCGCTCCCGGCAGCAGCTCGATGTGATGCTTGGTTGGCCGGTTGGGAAGTCCAAAGGGCTCCTGCATCAGATCAACATACTGATCCACCACCTGCTGTATCTCAGGAGGACAGGAAACAGGGGGAGCATCTGTTTGCTTGACCAAAGCAATAAACAGACACTCATGGTGGTACTGGCGAGAGAGAGCATGGAACTCCCTCGCTCTCAGGCAGTAGCAGGAGGTCTTAGGGTGGTGATCGACAACAATCATGCATTGCTGGTACACCCCCTGACTGTCTGGTAGTTCAGCTCTAGGGATCTGCCAGTCGATCCTAGGGTTGACTGCCCTTAACCACTGCATGGAGAACACCAAGTCAAAGGGGAGCTCAGGGAAGATGTAAAAGTTCAGAATGTGTTTGACTTTTCCTGCTGTATCAAAGGTCACAGGGATGCCCTTGACCTTCTCCCTGCTGCTGAGTACTGTAGAGTCACCAATCCGCACTAACAGCGGTTGCTGCAGCTGCTGAACTTTCATGCCCAGGTGCAACTTTTTAACTGCACTGGGAGACATGAAGTTCCTGGTGGCCCCACAGTCCAACAACCCAGTGGTCCTGGTGCTGTTGATCAGTGGCCGGAGCATGATGAGTTCAGACTTGCTCCTCTTCTGTTCTTTCAGATGAAAGAAGAAGGCAGCAATAGACTGAAGCTCATCCTGCCCCGGGTCCTGATCCGGGTCAGGATCCTCATAACAAAAGGATGCTGCCCGCGCAGTCCCCAAACACACATCATCAACATTAGTCTCAACTGAAACAGTTGCAGATTCACCTACCTGAGTAGATGAAGGTGCAGCACTAGAGGGAACTGCAATCCCCAGGGTCTGTTTCAGTTTTTTGACTGACTACCTGGGCCTGGCATGTAAGGGCAGTCCTTCAAGAAGTGCTGGCCCTCACACCTCAGGCAAACCCCTCTCTCCTTTCTTCTTCTCCAGACTCCCTCCTGGATCTTGAGGTCATGCCAGGGGAGTGTGGAGGGGTTGAGGGGTTCAGTTGGCATGTGGACGTCTCGAGGCAGATTAGGGCGCTGGGAAGAGGAAGGTCGACGTCCCTTGTCCTTCCCCTTGGTAGTGGMTGAGGCTGTGGAGGGGGAGTACTTTTTCTGCGCTTGCAGAGCTCCCAACACAGCCTGAGTCACCACTGCTGCAACATCTGTCTCAGCAACAGATCCGGTCCCACCTGAAGGCACATCAGGCTGGGAATCGGTGTCTGATCCTGAGGCGGACCCCGCGTGAGTAAAGGCTGCCTTTCCCCTTCTGTTGCCTCTAGGGAAGGCACCTTTCCTCCTGTCAGAGGTTGGGGCCTGGACATGGAGCTTGGCCTCCTTTTCCACGGCTGCACGACCAAAGGACCTCCAATCCTTGTACCTAGCGCTGTAGAGTGCAACAACAAACTGCCCTGCAAAAGCTGGTCAACATATCATTAGGTGCCATGACCAGCCCAGGGGTGGAGGTGAGCTGCTCGAATTCAGCAAACAAGGCCTGTAGGGTGCCGCTGTACCGCTGCTGTCCCAGGCGAGCAATCCTGTCAGCAGCCTTGCGGGCCCGCTCCTTGTCTGCAAACCGGTCCTCAAGGGTCTGCAGAAGTCTGTCTACCCCCAACCCAAAGGCCCAGTCCTCCATGGACTGTTGCAGACTGCTGGAAGTTGAGGTGGCCCACTTCAGTGCAGGCCCTTCCAGCAGCCCCAAAACAGTTGCCACCTTGGTCAGTTCTGCACAGACAAAGCCCCTCAAGTAGGATCTGGTCCCAGCAGCCCAGTCCCCAACATCAGTCTTGGGGTCATCGCCCCTGAACTTGTTGGGAGCAGGGATCTTGGGACCTCTGTCTGCTGCAGTCACAGCAGCATAGGTGGCCTTTACTGAGGCCTTTTGGGAAGGGGTAGATGACCGGGAGGAAGGTGCAGATCCAACATGGGATGGAGGAGGGGAAGGAGGTTGTGAAGGAGGAGGAGAGGATTTGGGTTGCAGCAAAGGGAGCTGAGGAGTAATCAGCTTGGCGGCTGCCAGCTGAGCAGACAAGCCCTGGATAGCATCCAGGATCTTGGACTGCTGAGCTGACAGCTCGTCCACCCGACACTCCAGCCGCTCAAAACGGTCATCCCAGTTTGTGAACTGGGAGCTGGTGATCTTGTCTCTAGCAGAATCATCTCAGCCATATGCTTGGTGATCTGGGCACAACGGTCATCAGTGAGTGACTTCTCTAGCTGCTGCAACAGATACTCCCTTCTGGAGTGATCTGTTGCGGCCTCTAGCTCAGCAGCCTCCTGCCGTGCCAATTCAGCTACTCTGGCCTGTTGCAGCTTGAGTTGTTCTTCTGCCTCCTTCTTCAACCTCTGAGTAGCAGTCAAAGGTGGAGGAGGGGTAGTGGAGGAGGAAGGCTGTTCACCTTCTGCCTTCACCACAACCTCCACATGTGGCTGCTGCTCATTCCCCCGATCCGACATTTTCCCAGTTCAAATAAAAACCAAAAATAAAATAACAGCAGAAAGAATTGCAGCAATACACAGATTCATGCAGATACCCTGGAATCGCTGCAACACTCAACACTGGAGTAGGTGGGTGAGTAGGCAATCAACGGTTTGGGGTTAGAAGGGTGTCTCTGGGGTCAGGTGTCAGATAGACTGTAAGTCCAGCAAAATCAACCACACGATTTCCTTTTACTGACCCTGGACCCCACTGGAGTTAGTACAGTCACTCCACTACTTTTCCAGAGACCCACTAGAATTTCCAGTGCCCACTAGAAAACTGGAGTAGTCAGTGGGAATGATCGAAATGGTAAGTACAGACACAGGGAGATCAATCACAACCCGCGATGCAGACAGATACCTTGTATCCTGACTCAAACTCACTTTCAGACCCTGGTGACTCTGACGGCCATACCCTAGGGTATGGCGAATTCCAGTTTTCACTGTATCCAGTGAAATACTCAAAATCCAAATCTGCGATTTGACAGTACTGATTGTTTTCAATTTGCGATTCCCTGGGGACTGACATAACTGAATTCTGACGGACAGAATTAGAGTTATGACTGACCCTAGATAGCACAGGCTAAAAATAGACTCAGCGCAAAACTATAATTCATAGTATCACTACCTTTCAGTACCGAATTCACTGTTTAAGCATCCCAGGACAATCGCAATACAGTATAGCAGTCACAGAACCAATTTGGACCAGAAAGAGTCAACAAAGGATGAGATATGAGCAGAGAGAGGTAGGGGAGAGATGGCTATGGCTGTAATGCAGTCTGCGATTTTCCAGTCACTTACAAACAGATAGACCCTTATCTTTCACAATCTACTACTATCTAGATCGCAATACAGGTAGGTGCATGGAACGGACTCACTTTCTGCGAATCTTGCAGGAGATGATGAAGATCTGGCTATGGCAGATGAAACCCTTATCTCGCCAATTTTCTCCAGAGCTTCTTCCTGATAATCCCACGCACAAAACTGCTTCAAAATCGTTGATCCTCCTCAGGATCCTGTAGCGCTGCACTCCCTTACTCCAGATACCCTGTATCTGGTCCTGTGGCACCCAACTCGCCAACACCACAATATCTCGCCACAGTGTCAGGTAGCCGCTGATGCTAAAAATAGCCCCAGACGGGGTTATGTCTTCTGGAGATTGATACAGTGGGTCAATCTCCCTCAGCGCAACCCAGGGATGGTGCCGCTCAGGGTTCCCTGATGTCCTCAGGGGTAACTCGCCACTCTGGGGTAATTCGCTGTATCACCCTCAGGGTTGGCTATGGCGAATTAGCCCTGTACTCGCCACTCCCTGCCAAGCGCCCTGACAGGCTCAGTGCGCTTGTTCAATACTGCCACTGAACACTTGAATTCACCGCTGAAAGTCTTCTTCCCTGCTGACTCAGTACTGGGGAAGATGGATCGCCATGAAGCCCTCGCCAGTATATCGCCAGGATGAAGAAGATGCCTCAGTGCGCTCAACCCTCAGTGCTCCAATTCCAATCTCGCTCTGATACCAACTGTTATGAACTTGGTTGTCTGACGAATTTTCTCGCCACTCACACACAGACAATCTCACACATGCCCATACATGCGTAAGAGAAGGGGAGAGAGGAGACAGAGTCCAAACTGCACACAGGTGAAGATAAGCAGCGGAAGGCAATCATGCACAGCTGGGGAGAAGACACACAATGTTTCTCACTCTCTGACACAACTCCCAACAACCAATCACAA